TAAAACATTGAGGAGATTTCGAGACGAGTAGGACGATACGTTGTCACACAACAGTCATATTTGGTGTGGCTCTACCACTGCATGAGTGCATAAGGTATAATGCTGTCATTTTGCAAACTTCGGGTGTCTTCTGCGGTCGGTGATCAAAACGACACCGTAGCGTGATGTTTCCCATGGCCCAATGTTATATGGAGCCTGCTGCATTATGGAGCGGATGAAATGAGCTGGCTATAGGTTATTCTTGCTGATCTCATACTGCAGTCTAGCGCAATGTTCAAAACTACCCTTATCACTCTTTAAGCTGAATTCACTTCTTTCCGCCAGGTGGCGGGATGTTGCGTATGCGTAACGCGTAAGGACAACCCTAGAAGGGATGTTCCACATTTGAAGATATTAAGGGCAAAAGGGCAAGAACCTAGTTGAGAACATGGAGGATTGATGAATTCATACAAAGCCTGGAGTTGACATACTTAGGACACGACGAAGGTTACACAAGCTGTCATTTTGTCACACACTGATTCAGTACAAAACACCAACAACCTTACGATTTGACAGACACGTCTCCATACACGCACCACTCACACTGACAGTACACTCAGAAACTCTACAACCCTCAAGGCCAGAACATCTTTTCAACGATAATTCATGCTAAATACCACGTGCATATTGACCAAACGTACCCGTAGCACTTCGCGCATTACGCACAGAATTGAAAAATTCCGTAGCAGATCTGTTGGGTACCAGAAAACCTCCTCCATATTTCCCATGCGAATCAAAATTCGGAAATGTCTACCACACCCGAATAAGGACCAGCTGCATCCCTCTTAACGCGCTCCTCGTCCAGGTTCAAAAGCCTCCCGTTGCTTAGTGTCTGTTGTCACATGTCTGAGACAGTTCATCATTTTGTCCCATTTGACCACTTTCTCGACACCCGGGACGCCAGCTCATGCGGAAGGTTGTGCAAATATTAAACCTCTGTTTCAATCCATTTGCAAGCACCGACAGCACACACGCGTCATTTACCGGATGATATAAACGGGGATGACCAGGTGGTCGCGGCGTGCTTCCAGGGTTGCATCATTAAAGTGTTAAAACTATGGCATGAGGCCGTAGACAGTAGCGGTGGCGGCGTCTTGTGCTATCGCGGTGGATCGTTATTAGAATGCCATGACCGGCAGCTGTTTTCCGTTCTTTTTTCTGTTCTCAGCTTGCTGTCCTCGCTTCTTTCTGCTTCTTTTGGGAGATGTGCCCAGATTTAAGTATCATGATTTGTACACCAATTCTTTGTTTACATTTATGTTACCGTACCATTTATAATATTTTGAAAGTTAGATAAAAACACAGCAAACAAACGTATAGAAAATCATTCATGCCCAATGCTGGGAGAATAAGGTTGATATGCCTAGTGTTCGTCAGGTTTAAGTGCGAAGAATATTAAGTTCGTAACAACACAGTTGCCATGGAAGGTAACTACAGACAGTGATGACATGGCGAATGTTCGTCGGGGAAAAGTTCGTAGCAAAAATGTCGTACCCATCAAGGTCCGCGTGGAAAAGATCCTTAACGACTGCTCGGACGGAAATGTTAGTTCATGCGACAAGGGCACATAGTAATGGTTCGTACTTCGATATGAGATGTGAGTAACACAAAGTTTGTGCGCAAATGCTCGTCAGGAATATAGTTCGTATGAACAATCTCGTTTGGCAAAGCACCTAATCAAAAGGTGGGATGCAGAGGTATCACTGGCAAGTTGGAATGCAGGCCTGCATGCTTGATGGCTGGCGTCGGATGAATAACCGCTGTGCGGGCCAATACATACCATAAATCAGAGAGAGGGGGATGACGGTAACGTTGAAAGTATCACTTTCAAACTTTTTCGCCGGCAAGAGCTAAACATAGCTGACATGACGTCATGCCTTAGGTCATCCCCGGAAAACCAGGTTTCAGCAAAATTTGAGAGCTGAGGGTGAATCCGGTGTTCTGGTGGTCAATATGTCCTGGAACGCTCTCCATAGAAGCATCATCCACCATCCAGAAGTTAATTCTGGTCATGCATCGACTTATGCTTATGCTTAGACTTATGCTTATGCTTATGCTTAAATCCCTAGGCTGCCAAGAGCTTTTGTGCATGCACTTTTGTTAAACCAACCTCATATGTGATGAACGTTGCGTACGCTGCTATTACTTTCCAAGACCATATAGTTACAGGAGAATAAAGCGAAAAGTAGTAAGAAACGTCTATAGAATCAAACTACACTAATGCGGAGGGGGGCAAAACGTGGGGTGGTTGTTGATAAATCGAACGTATAGTTTAACTGTTAAATGTGGCGTAATGTAGGCGCATTAGGGGCGTGCCAAAATTATGGGTCTTAACTCGCAACAGCTGTGAGAAAACATTTGCAATGTTTAGTAGTGCCTGACAAAAGTCCCTTACAATTTGCAAGCTCGTTCAGATCTGTTTGGTGCAAGAAATAACCATGCTCTCTGACCGTCGTACTTCACATACGTTTATTACACGTGTGTGCCAAAGGCTTTCAGGAGACGTTGTTGGCCCGGTAATATGTAAATATGCAGATTCCTACTGAAGTCCGACTTGCCTCTAGTCCTTTGCTTTATGATATATAAAATGTATTGATCAACAGCCAGAAGCACTACGAGGGCACCTACATTGTTTTTTGTAAGTCCTTAGAACGGGTAGTACGGGATTCTTACTGGAGCATCGATGCTGTGAGTTTTTTAGGTAAAATATACCTAAAACATTATTTGTGCTTCCTTCGTTCGGCACTCTAAACGTATCAACTAAGCATTTGTCCATTGGCGAGATGTGCAGAGAATAGCGGGGGGTCATGCACGGTGACCGCGATGTACTAGTCATGCCAGTAACAGACGTTGTTGGGAATGTCTCTCTCGCATCCCACGTATCGGGACCACGCGCACGCTCGTAATGTGATAGCCGTGCCCAATATCATTGGAAGACCTGCTTCCAGGCATCGAAATGCGCACACGCCCAAAACCCCCACACAGGGCTGGCAAAGTTAAGTCTGAAGAGGTTGTGGCGGCGACTGTACCGAGCTGTAGTACTCGAGCACCCGCAGCCGAGCAGTCCAGCCCACAATATGACATCGATTCGGGTTTAATTTCGCTGATTGGATGGTAGGTTGAAGTCGGTGCCATTCCGTTGCAATGGTCATAATTGATTGGAACGCGGTCATCCAGCCATCTGTTGTAACAGTGCGGCAGACATGTGCAGCCTTGCTAAAACGTGGACACATCGTATATCATGGCATCGGGCCGTCTGCCCGCTGTCGGTTTAAAACGATGCTCTAATATGGACCCACTTAGCGCCGATTCCTCTTGCCCGGGTAACGTACGATCGCCAGGGCCTTCGAAATATCTACATTCTCGATGAGCCCGTGTGCTACCGGTCCCTTTCGTTATGCAAAACGCGACACTTTGAATTTATGAGATGGGCCGAGGCGGTATTAAGCCGCCCATAGGCTGGAAAATGCCTTGCCCGTTATCATAACATTAAATGGGTGATGTGAAAGTTTGCAGAACCGAATGCCGGATGTCTAATCCGCGGTAAGGGCTGATTAATATTGACGTAATTCTGAAGGCGTACCCGTTGGCCTTGGGTGACTCGGCGAAATGGCGTGGCAGGCCAGCCGAGGCTATCTTTAAGTTGGAAGATGGATGCCGTCAGTGCTCCAGTGTTTCTGGGCATCCCAATTGCGCGAAAGGAACGCAGGATTTATCTGTATAGCTGATCCTTGTCGTTCGGGCCCATTTGGTGGTGGAGACGGTCTTTCTGTGGTCTTGTAGTTGTGACTAGCGGACGAGTACGCGGCCCATGCTAGGCGGCCCTGCTGCCATCTCTCTGTGGTCTTGTAGTTATGACTAGCGGACGACTATGCGGGCCATGCTAGGCAGCCTTGCTGCCATCTCTCTGTGGTCTTGTAGTTGTGACTAGCGGACGAGTCCGCGGCCCATGCTAGGCGGCCCTGCTGCCATCTCTCTGTGGTCTTGTAGTTGTGACTAGCGGACGAGTCCGCAGGCCTTGCTAGGTGGCCCTGCTGCCATCTCTCTGCGGGGTCCTTGTAGTTATGACTAGCGGACGAGTCCGCGGGCCTTGCTAGGCAGGTCCTGCTGCCATCATGCACTCTTGACGCGAAGGAGTGGTTGCATTTCACCTTCGCCATGCTATTTGCATTACGTCTGGTACGGGAAAACTCAACTAGATTGAGGTCGTCTGGAAGCAACTGCCTTTGGTTGAGGTTTGCTGGGAGCTTACGAGGCGTGCGGAACTTGGCATTTGTACTGCTGGTGCAGCTGCTGCGCTCCGCTACGGCGACTGACTTGCGTCCCCACTTATCACCAAAGCGGAGTCTGCAGCGCCAGGCGCCCAATCCGCTTCTCCCAGGCCCTCGTTACGCGGCCTGTGAAAGCAAATGGTACGTGCGCTGGACAGATATGGTCCTGCACCGAGCACGCGTGGATCACGGCTCGGTGGGTCCCGGCCTGCCTCTGTGCAGCCGACTGTGGGGTGAGACTAGAGCAATGTTACGATGGTCCGCGCCTGGCCACAAGCACGCCGGCCAGAAGGCGGTCTGGTACCGGAACGGACTGCCATCACGTCACGTGCTGTCTTGCCATACATAATTACGCTTGGCGTAATGTCCAGGAGTGCGGGCCACTTTCGCCCGATGATGTCTCTTATGAATCGATAATTGCGGTCATTTGACCGAAGACAGCTCCTGTCTGCACTGCGTGGAAAGAGACCGTTGCCCAGCTAGGTGTCGAAATTCTGTTGGCCAGGAAATGCAATGCAATGTGTTCGATTCTGTTCGCTTTTTGCGGCATTCAGATGTGACCGCTGATGCTGCCGCCGCACCACGCGTCCGAGTGTGCGAGCTCCGCGTCTGTGTGCACCTGACGTCGCTTCGGCCACAAAAAGTTCGATGCACGCATCTGAGCCCGTGTGGGGTGTGTCTCGGTTACAGGACGGCGGCTGAGCCTAGCGCAGACGTTGCACATCCTGCTGGCCGTGTTCGTGATGCTCCTGGCGTGACGCTGAGACGCCGGCGGCCGCGCCCTGCAGCGCTGCCCGGGGCACGCGCCGGCCTCCGCCTTCACGTAGTCCGGAGGGCGACCGCGGCCGTCCGCTCACGGCCCCCTACCCTGATGGACGGTGGCCTGGCGCAGCTTGTGACGGTTGCCTGGGCCAGAAAATTGGAGCTGTCACGCATCGGCGGCACCGGCGACCCACACCCGGCAAAAAACCGTCCGGCGGCGGCGGCGACGGTGGCGGCGGCAATGGTAGTGGCCCAGGCGTGTACTCCTTCCTGCAGGAGGCGTCTGCGTGACCGGCCCGACGGCCTCCGGTGGCTTTCGACGGCTTCCGGTGTCTGCCAGCGGCGGTCTGCGTTGCCAGTCCGCCGGCTGGGTGTGCCGGGGGCCGGCTGGTCGCCACCTGCACGCCGACTGGCTGCCACAAACCCCGGCTGACAACGAGGCCAACGTTCGTATTGAGTCCACAGACTGCTCTCAGTGCCACACGTAACTGGACGTCGTTTTCGATGGTAGCTCTGGGTTTGCCGACTTGGCACGCCGTTGTCGGTGTTTGCGCTCACTTGTTCGCTGTGCAGTGACGGGATAGCTCGCAGGCTAGCGGCGAGGCGGAGTCGAGTGCCCGGAGGGCTGGTCGAATGTGAGGCCAGCTCTGGTTTCTGTTATTGTGTTGCGCTATGGGTGCGAATCGCGAGATGTTCGGCCCGGGCTCCGAAAGATGTTCGGCCCGGGGTCCGAGAGATGTCCGGTCACATGGTCGGAGAGATGTCCGGCCCGGGTCCGAGAGATGTCCGGCTACAGGGCCTTTTAATCCAGTGGTGTGGTCCGTCTCGTCTGGTGAACTGCCACACGAGATCTTCATGAGAGCATGGTGACGTTATAATACATTGTTTCCATATCATTGTTTCCATATTACAAACTGACGGAGTTTGGGCAGACGTTTGATTATGAGATGTCCTGTACATGATAAGATATGCATGACGGTACATTTACTCGACGCACATCACCGGGCGAGAGAGAGCAGCCCGCATCAAGTCCGCCAACGTAAGTCATGCCCGGCACGGGCAGTCCCTCGCGCAGAGGACATTGCTGAACATTCTCAGATCACCCGACAATGATCATGAATGATCACTCCACATACGGAAGTTGTCCCACGGGGGTCATGCTACATGCTAAGGTCCTCGCTGATATTTTTCTGACGCTGAAGAATTTCGTGAAGAAGTTCTGCACGCTGATCTTATTACTGAGACGAAAGTACTGCGACGAATGTGCATGAACCAGCTCGCAATCTGCTTGGCGTTATGTGCAGTGCATGGTGAGGAGCACGGTCTGGTTGTTTTAGTCATCCCAGATTCGAAACAGCTGCCGTGATGCGTGTTTCCGATTCCAAATTTAGGCTCAATCCTGAACGCTACACTATCCTGCTATTTATAGTCTGAGCGGGCCGAAATTCCGTTTTGCAAACTTTTCATGCGAACGACGGATACGTCCATTTGCTCGTAGAGCCAAACAGGGCGTAATAAACGGTGATCGGAGCGGCAGTCATCGCCTTGAGAGAACATTGTGTTAGAGACGCTCAAGCATGGCAGACTTCAAGCGCGCGCGACCTCGGATGCATGCCATCACTTACTGTGGAAGGTTACAGCACATTTAGGAGTACACCTTTTCTGCAAACAGATTTTCCATATTCTTTGAAAGCTTATATCACTTCTCACATGATGGCTAAAAAGCCACGCAATTCTGCTCGTAGGATTGTGGGGCATTTCGGTATTCTTCGTGTTGTATCCATTGATTCTTTCAATTCGCTTCCATCGACCAAATATTTAAAGTGCCCCAGTTTAACAAATATGGGTAATTATTGCTGATAATCTTCCAGGCCGAGGGCCAATCTCTGATAATTTACAAATCTTGGTGAACACGGGACAATTTTCAGACCTTGATCATGACAGGGTAGCATTTCTTCACTATGCCTAGCCATGACCACTTGCTAGGTGGGGACTTTACACTAGTTAGAAATATGGCAGCAATGGCACAGATTTTACGACTAGCCCGCAGTCCCATGTTAAAATACCCCTTCTCAGGCCCACGGCTTTTTAGATATTGAATATGTGTGTGCATACAAAGTACACAGAAATGAACCTCGAACAATTTTTGTCCCATCTCTGGGGTCAAAACTTTGCGGCGTGCCACTCTTTTTCGAGCTATTAGGCAAAGCATAGACCAAATGCACACGCTGCGATGTCCTGTCGTGGGGTCAAATCCCGTTGCAGCCAACACTTTTTAGCAGAACTGAGATAGAAAACGGAGCGAATACGGTCACTGACTGACCATGGAAATAATGAGTATGAACGAACATCTGATGACCACTAAATACATATGCATATATATATATATATATATATATATATGTATTGTTATATGTAGGAGGTTAATTGTCTTCTATGTAAGTCTTGTTAAAGACCTTCGTGTAAGTGCTTTTAGTAAGCTTTTTCTGCACTTGCTCTAGTCTTGTATTACACTTGTTTCCTCATCATCGAGATAAAAAGCGACTCGCCTATGTTTGGTATCGATTGGTTGGTCTGACGTTTCGGAATCATTACTGCATTTTCCATTTCGAAAGGTGTACACATACAGCATACAAGCGACGAATATATAATTACGTGTTACAGTTAAGTGTAGCAAGAAGGTATAATCGCGTTGAGTTCGGTTGTCAAAGTGCACAGAGCCCAGATTAGTTGACTGACATTTTGAAAGCATAGTAATTCAAGTGGTGGAAAACGCGCTGAAAAGGAATATCTACCATATATACTGATGGTAACAATCGTCCCTAAAGGGGATAAAGGGTGATTGAAGCTTTGGTTGGCTTGTTCAGTTCCGGTGACAATGTTTCGATCGGGACGGCCTCTGCAACATAAAGCTTCCTCCTGTTTGGTGATGTCATGGTGCTGGTGCCTCTGGTCAGAACGTTTCGGGTGATGTCCCGGCCATGCTCTTTTCTCGTTTGCTCTGTTGAAGTAACGTCAACCAAGTTCATCGTCAACCGCCTTGAAACTGTGGGTGGTAGCGACACCAACGCAGTTTGATTGCTTTAGGAGTCTGCAATCTCCGATGCCACAACGAAACTGGTAAACTACATTGGCTCGTTTCAAGGGGTCAGATTTGGCCGTGAGGTTATTTCCCATGATGTATTTGAGTGTCCTTTCTGTTTTTGTAGTAGATGGTGAGCGTTATTTCGTCGTCCTGGCTGACTGGCTTGACGTTGGATATTGTTTTCTCGAGGATACGCTCGCATGTGTTATAGCTATAAGACATTTCATGTGGATGGAGCAGATATGATTTGGTTCATGTTTGATGGCGTCAGCTGTTGTCTGTTATCGTGACATAAAGCTGCTGATCTGATGGTCGATGGCACTGCTGGAGTAGCCATTATTTGCAACAACTTGTTTGATGCGCTGCAGTTCTCTGCGTAGCTGCGTAGCTGCGTCCAATCAGAGCAGAGTTTGAAGACTCTTTAGAGGCCGGAGCGCACTACAGGGATCTTGTCCCGGTCGGGGCACTGGCTTGTGGCCCTGAGCCATCGTCCAGCATCTGTTGGCTTTTGTGCATCTCTCTCACAAATCGTTGTTGGTCAGCAGTGAAGTATATGTCTAAAAATGGAATCCGGTTAGTGACGCTTAGTGACGCTAGATGCTGGACGATGCTTCTGTGACACAAGCGGTTGCCGCGACCGGCGCCAGATCAGTGCAATGCGCTCCTACCTGTGAAGAGCCTTCAAACTACATATACTTGGACTAACTATATTTGGACGCAAGTAAGCAGTAAGCTGTAGCGCCATCAACAAGGCCTCGTAAATAATGGCTACACCAACATAGCCATCGATCATGAGATTAGTGGCTTTCCGTCACGATACCAGACAAAAACTGACGCCATCAACATCAACCAAATCAAATCACACTGTTCTATCAGAATGAATTAGCCGATAGTTACAAGAGAGACGACTGTTTCCACAAGAAAATAATATATGACGTCTCGCCCTTCATGCAGGACGACAAGAAAGCGCTCACCATCCACTTCAACGGAGAAAGGTCATCATCATAATGAGAACTAACCTCACGGCCAAACCTCACGACTCGAAACAAGCCAACAGAGTGTACCAGGTTCGGTGTGACATAGGATATTGCAGAACTAAACTGCGCTGGTGTCACTTTCGCTACACTCTAAAGGCAGTTGACGATGCACTTGGCTGACGGTACTCCAAAAGAGCACATGAGAAAAGAACACGACTTGAACATCATCCAGGACAACCCCACCAGAAACAGCAGCACCATAACATCATCATCAAACAGGAAGAAACTTCATGTTCTGGAGGCTGTCACGATCAAAACATCGTGACCGGAACTGAACAAGCAAGCCAACCCCTCAGTCACACTTCACTTTGTTTAGGGACAACCGTTGCCATCAGTACAGATGGTCTATATCTTGCCTTTCAGTGCGTGTTTTAACACTTGAATTCTTGCTCTCTCAAAAGTGCTAACCACCTTATTTAGACTCTGTACAAGTTGACGATGGATCTGAACATGGTTTTACCTAATTGTTGTACCTAGCTCTAACGCACCATCATATATTCGTCGCTTGGTGTTCTGTTTTTCACCTTAAAAATGAAACATGTAATACAATTCCACAACGTCTTGCCTACAATAGATGCCGAACATTGGCGAGTTACTTTTTAGTCTCAATGATGAAGAACCAGCCATAACAAGAAAACTAGAGGAAGTGCATAAAGGCTCATTAAATGCACCTACGCCAAGGTCTTCAGCAGCACATATATATATATATATATATATATATATATATATATATATATATATATATATATATCTCTCTCTCTCTCTCTCTCTATCTATCTATCTATCTATCTATCTATATATATATATATATATATATATATATATATATATATATATATATATGGAAAGCCTTAAGATGCAGCCGTTGTACTGT